TCAATTAAGCCCCCCCCCCTCTCCAATAAGCCCTCCCTCAAACGTGACTGAAATAAATAAGCCCCCCGGGGGGCTAAATAGAGGATTTACGGTAGTTAATATCGTATGAGTGGAAAGCATACGCCATACGATAGTGGCACGTACGAGGTACGACATGCCATAACATTGAAATGGCTTCACGTAAGAATGGTTAATATCGTATGAATTAAAAAACGTACAGAGGGTGTACGGTACGACATTCCGTTACATGGAAATGGCTTCCCATTGTCTTCCAGTAATTCATCCAATCACAAAGCAAAGTACGGCTACGGTAAGATACGGTACGGTTACAGTACGACCACGAATAGTTTCCCACTCATATATAAAAGTTCTAAATGGAATCAAAGGTGGTGTACAGTAGTAGATTCACCTCTCACTTAACAATGTAATAAAGTGTCCTAAATATATGTGTACCTCCTTTTTTCCACGTATTACAGCTAGCACAACAATGCTTCATCATCCAATTACGATTCCAATCGCACTCTCCTTCAGAAGCCCATGTGGAACACTTTGGGTTGTCATCTTTGATACAACCTAAGGAGACAAATAATAGCTAAATAATTACTCATTGTCAAAATATGAATAACTTTTCCCAACGTTTCTCTACGATCAAGCATACATTATATGTGCAAAGACCTTTGAGCCAGAACAAAGTTGTTGAAGGGAAAGGAACCAGGAATACAATAAGATATGCTGGAACATGAGGACCCAAATCCTCACATTAAGGCTACAAAGATCAATTCCTGTGATAAGAACGTTTACCTTGCTGGTTCAAGTATCCTTCTGTCTTAGCAGCAGGTGATGTTGGCCTTACTGTAGGCCAAGGTTCTGGGTTTGGGTTGGTAGGTTGTGTCTGTCCTGGTGTTGGACTAACGGGTGGTACAGCTGTCGGCCATGGTTCTGATGTTGGGTTGGGTGTCCGTGGAGGCGGCGTGACTAGTGGTGGTTGGGTGGGTTGAATGGATTCTACTGGATTGGGAGTTATCACTGCTGGTCCACTGCCAGTACCGTCATCTAAAACCAAACGACTTTTTATTAGTGAAACATATTAGAGACCTAATAGTATCTGGTAGGTTGTGGGGTGCCCATGGATCCCTCTTCTCATTGGTAGTATATTAATAAAGTGCAAGCAACAAAACACTATTTGTTTGACAGCACATGACGGACAGTGTTTGCCTGTATTTGTAAGCTGGTTATAATGAGATTCATTCAGCTGATTGATACTGACCAAGCAACAAAACACTATTTGTTTGACAGCACATGACGGGCAGTGTTTGCCCTTCATTGAGAGTAGATAATGAGATTAACTAGCTTGATTGACACCTAGCATCTAGTAACAACAAGCTATATAGCATAGTTAGAAAAAAAGAAGTATTTGTTTTACCACATATCCCACACGTGGAGGGACAATTCTCCTGCATAAAAGGCTGATCACATCTTCTTCCCTCTTTCAGGAAACCCTTGCACGCAGATTTGAATGGCTTGTCTCTACATTGCTCTGATGGGAATGAATCAATAAATCCTTCAAATACTTGACTTATTTTATCTCGCCATTATTGCTACTTACTACTACTCTTACCACTTTTATACAAAAGCCCAACACCATGGACCACTTATCTATGCTCAATAATTATTTATTTTGAAATTCTTCCAAAACCATGTTGTTCGTTCCGAGATTCTGTCGTCTTTCCAAAGAGTAAACAGTACACATTTAACTAAATAGGTCTTCTTAGTTAGACTGCTTTTCATACACCTGCTACATTCAAATCCTCCGATATCTGAGTTTTAGGTGGAAATCTTAACAACGGAAGCCGAATCACAAGAAAACGCGCCACGTCTGGAGTTGGCATGGCTGTAAAACTCTCTTAGGAGAACATATAGGATTTGCTGAAGTAAGTATGTAATACCTGAACAGTCAGGCGGTCTCCACCCAGTAGGACATGTACACTTGCACTGGTCTTTGATGAGAGTACCTCCATTGACACAACTTAGTGGGCACTCTGCGGTCAGAATAGAAATTGTATATAATCTGTCTGTTTTCTATTAATCTTCGCAATGTTGGGGATATTAAACAAAAGATTTCTGGCTCATTAACCTTCTTTGCCATACCCCAACATGGCCATGAAAAGCTTACCATCCATCATTTATATTATTCAGTGCTTCATGAATGCATAAATTCTTCATTACTTACCACACAAATTGCAGAATTTTGGGCAAACTTTTTTCATTTTTTGTGTGTCTGTGTTACACATTTCTCTGGTCAGTTTTTGGCCACATTCAGCGTTGTAATCCTTGCAGTCTCCTACACAAGCACATAACTTTCCATCAATCTCACACGGCAATACTAGCACTGAACATAAATGTTTGTAAGGCCTAGATTGGACATCGCATTTCATGTTCTAAATATAATACTATTTTTCACTATTTGTTTTACTTTTTCCCAGTAAAATCACTGGTAGGTAACAAAAATATTGTATATGACTTAACTGCAAAGGTTCTCGTAACACCATCCTTTCCCAGATGCACATTTTGAACAAGGTTTTCCTGTTTTGTAGGGGTAATGACCGATCACATTACCGCTGAGAACAACAAAGAAAAAAAWATATTTACTGATTCTGAACAACTTACTTTTACTCAAATTACTCTCCTATAGGCCTCTTGCATGTACGTGAGGTCAAAAAAGCTCAATTTGGAGGACAAAGCAAAGGAATTTTCAATCTCCTGAGAATTGGAAAGATATTGTTATGTCCTCCAAATTGAGCTGCATCTCGACCCACTACAAGTACTATAGTATACAATAATAAAATCTCACACAAAAAAATTGCTTGCAAAAGCTCGCCAGTGCTCCAGCTGAACCCCCAGTGTCAATGTATACTGAAATATTACACAATCATCATGATCACCAGTTCTAGTCAAAGTTGTCTAAGAGTTTGGGCTTGGGGAAGTGCAAACGTCCCCTCAAAATCGATATGAACGTCGTCAAAATATGCCATCGAGAAAACCTTTTCTTACTAATTTTTTTCTTCGAGGCAAGTTTTATTTTTCAAAGTTCTAATTTTTTTCAGGTGAAAATTAAATCATTGAATATATTTTTCGCTTTATTTTAGAGGTTTTTGTAAACAGTTGGACCCGGAATTCGAAATACGTCACAAGGTATTAAGAGCTCTATGTAAATTTCAAATAGACCGTTTTCTCAAGGTTGCGTACGCATCCAATCTTAAAGGGCAACAAACTGAAAAACGCAAATTCAGTAAAATTGAGAAGCCAGTTTGATATTTAAAGAGGAGAATAATCTATTTTATGAATTCTTATCGAAAAATCGAAGAAATGTATGATAATTCTGATTATAAAGCTCCTGTTCTGGTATCGTGGCCCGTCAAGTTTCGTAAATTTGGATGAGCGCGCAACCTTGAGATATTCTATTCTATTCAGTCTATTCTCGAACGTATGGCTGGTTTGACATTTTCATCGTTCAACAATTTATTTTTTATTGTCGAAACTAATATATAAATTGCACGGAGAGATAAATTTTAGGAAGAGCATTGGCCAAGCAAAAGTGTTACCATAAGGAAACAAATATAAAACTAGATCAAAATTAAGAGAATATGTGGACCGCATGGCACTAATGAAATACATGAAGATATAGAAATATAGATAAGTTATAGTGCTTGGGAACGAGGTCATTCCGGGCGAAAGCCCTTGGAATTAAATTCGGAAAAATTAATTTCCGACCTCGCTGGGAAACGAACCCACGACCTTCGGAATTGTACTACCAATGCTCTACCAGCTGAGCTAGAGGTCAGACTGAGAGCAGGCCGGGGTGAAATAGATGTTRGGTAGCGGTAATTATGATGCAAAGATGAGAATATGTGGACCGCATGGCACTAATGAAATACATGAAATACATAATCTCGTTCCCAAGCACTATAACTTATCTATATTTCTATATCTTCATAGATCAAAATTACTTTACCTTGGTGAATAGTCACAGTTAACCAACGTCTCTCCAGGGTTAGATGGAGGATGGTATCCATTGTCAAACCTCTTATTACACCACGTCATCCCGCATCCAACGTATCTACTTAGTGCCCAAGCCAGCTAAAACGAGAGTACGATCAAGAAGCAYGAAATAAAATAATGAAACCTTACTGAAATCGCACGCTGTCATTGGTTACAAACGTATCCCTGTACCATGACCGTGCCGCGTCCATTCAAAGTCGTGCGCAATCTGACTCTGTCATCAAAAAAACTCCCAAAGACTTGAAGGATCGTGCGCACTCTAAAAGATTGAAATATATGGTCGTAGAGGTGACTTCCAACATATCATTCCATACCATGGAAGTTTAAAAACCATAAATTCATAATGTCATGGAAGTCTCAGCACTTTTATGCCACCATTTTTACGACCCCACGGAAGTGTTTTAAAGCTTTTTGATTTCCAACGTTAGTTCCAACATGTTTCCCTGATCTCAAATCGATCGATGTTTCTCTAACCAACCTGTGTGTAATGTCCACATATTCTTCTAGGCAAACACTGACTTGGACCCATTGGACTCTGGAACTTGCTGAATCTATAATACTTGTACTCATTGTACCATCTTTCCACGCGAGTCTCTGGGTTGGTTATTTTGCCATACTCTCGTGCTAAGTTTTGACCTTAAATTGAACCTCAAACATTGTACAACTGTTGATGCATTTTTCTATTATGTGGGTGGACGGGGGGCTCTGACAAGGGGGGAAAGGGAAAAGGAGGAAGGGGGAAGGGGGAATCTAAACGGCTGGGTTGGTCGAGTGTTGTTCGAGAGTTTGATTGAGGTGTTGTTCTCACCCTTACCTCAAGAGTTTTTCTCCATGCAGAGACTCGGGCTTTGCTCCCTTCGTAAAAATTAGCATGTGAGTTGAGAGTTGCATGTTGTAAATAATGAATGTAGTGGTAGTGTGTATTTGTCAATCAAGGTTGGTGTAGCGGTATTGTTCACCGCTGGGCTCTCGGGATCGATTCCCAGACTCAGCATCACGTCACCTGAGTTTGTTAAAATAGTTATCTCCATTCATTTGAGATTTTTCTCCCGTTATCTTTTCCATGCAAAAAAACTAAATTACGACTCAGTCTGTGAGTAAGCCTTGTCCTGACTATGATCAATCAAGTGGTTGTTTCAGGGTTCGATAAAGGTTAATTATCTGTTGTATATAGTGCAAATGAAAAGTATTGCATAGTAGTGTGTCAGTCCGTGCCGTGACCTATATTTCTTAATATTCTATCTATATTTTTTCTCATTGTAATTTATGGTATAAATAAAACACTTTGTATTGTATTTTATTGTATTGTAAGTTTGACCAATTAATACCTCCAGAGTTACATACCTAGGTGGTCGGCCCTGAGARCCTCGGTCGGTTTATTAGGATAGGCATCGCCGAATTTAACGAAACCATGTGACCAGGTACATCTGTTTGTCCACATTTGTGCTAAATTAGCGAGGTCATCATTCCACTCCTAATATCAGTATATAAATAATGATTTATAATTATCTCATAGGAATGTATATAATAACATATATATGTTACTGATATTCCAGTTAGCACATACTTTTTCATTAAATGACATGTGGCATGTTTGTTCGTATAACAAAAGAATTCATGTAGCAACTACATATACAGTACCATCAATTACCACTTATTCCAGTTAGCCGATCTATTAGGGTAGCAACTACAATACCACGAATATTACCTGTATGGTAATTTGTCTAGCTATTACCTGGTATTCCATGTAGTAGAACATGTTATTCTAAGGGTACCGTATTATCCCTGGCAATATTCTGCTTTGGTCACTTTACCTGGTATTCCATGTTAGTAGCACATTTTATTCTACCATGTTACCTGGCAATGCTCTGCTTTGGTCACTGCCTGGTATTCCATGTTAGTAGCACATTTTATTTCTACCATGTTACCTGGCAATGCTCTGCTTTGGTCACTTTACCTGGTATTCCATGTTGGTAGCACATGTTATTCTAAGGCTACCTTGTACATGGCAATACTTTGCTTTGGTCACTTTACCTGGTATTCCATGTTAGCTGCAGTTGGTCGAACCATGGAGCGAAAGTGGTTATGTTGATCCAACATATCTTGTTTTTGTTGTATAGTCAACTCACTAACAGCGTAATCACTTCCAAGAGGAGAAATCTCTCGAATCATCCCAAATACGTTTTGACAGTTCATTACAAGACACATCCAAATACATACAATTGATCCAAGGTTCGTCATCTTTTGACCCGATCAGCCTTGTCGATCAAACTCCAATTCCTTGTTGATTTCCGAGTTCGATGAAAGTACAATTATTGAAGAAACATTATGACGCGAGTAAATTCCCCGTCTATATTTCCTTTTGACAGAAAAAATTCTGAATTTTCGAATAAAATCAAAGCATGACCGAAATGATTTTGAAACACGAAAATTTTACGAATATGTTTTTAGCTAAAAAGTCAGGTGGCACCAATCTTATCCTAAAGTCAGGTCCCTGACCTGATTACATCAGACTTAAAATTAGTCATCGATTTTCCGGCATTCTATAATTTCTAAAACTCAAATGAAAATGTTTTGTCGGCTAAAAAACCTTTAAAAATACGTGAATAAAAAGGATTTGGTGTAGTAAGGTTTTGTGCTTGAAGTCCGTACTGTTTTGTTCAAAAATGCCTCCCACTGACTCGTCAGGTACTTGAAAAACGAAAGACCGTTTCCCCCCACCAGCTACTATAAATAAAGTAAACGGGTCATGAATTACAAAGGCACACAAGCCAAGGTTCAGGTTGATATACAATGCATTGTGGCAAATAAACAATGTCTTACTTTATACTTGTTTTTATTATAAGAGTGTTTTTCAGGTACGTAACCAGGGATCTTGTAGGGGAGGTGTACAGGCAATGATTTGCAGAACCAAAAAAAAAAAAAAAAAAAAAGTAAAAAAAAAAAAAACCAAAAAAAAAAAAA